TGGCATGAATTGGATAAGTATGTACTCAGTATGGATATGCATAAGTCAACACAAGGCCTCAGTACACGACATTGGGTAATATCGGATCATATGTGCAAGCATCTATTTATCACGTTAGCCACGCCACATTCACGACAAGCACCTGCCGCACGGAAAAATCAGTATGAACACCGGCAACGCACGCAGAAAGAGGCGAAGCAGCTCCTGAAACCATTGGCTGTATTCAAAATGAGGGGGACCTCCGCCTGAGGCTGCGCAGTTACGGATATCCCACCGCCGAGAAGTACAACGACTTCTAGAGGCATCACCCTCGTGGCGCCCCACGGAGAGCACTACGCGGATTGAGTGTCCTGGTGCAGGGTGCCGCCACATCCACATCTTCACGGACGGCTCAGGGAACGAGGGTGCTGCTGGGTGGGGGATGTCGGTGATGGAAGCTACCGAGCAGAGGTGGACGGACTACTACGGTCCAGTGGTCTCAGCCCAGACGCCGCTTCTTCAAAATATATTTCTTGGCGCCGAGATGCTGACCAACAGCGCGGGCGAGCTTTCAGCGATGATCATGGCGATGTGGTGGACTCTAGAACATACTGCAGATCAGGGCCGCATCACACTCCACTACGATTCTAAGTATGCTATGAATATGATCGTTGGGAGCTGGAGACCAGGCACAAATCGAGCCCTCATTTCCACGGGGGGATCATTTTTTTCGCAAGGTGAGCAGGCCGAGAGGTTTTATCATGACGCACGTCAAGGGGCATCCGGGAGACGTCGGCAACGATGGCCGACGCCGCGGCGGACGAGGGCTGCAAACATCATTTCAAATTGTGGGACGCCATCTTTGGGCCAGACTATCCTGAGGAGGTGAACGTACCAGCTGCCGCACCCGCCGCTCCCCCACCAGTGGCTCCACGGGCCCCTCCTGGCCTCGAACTTGACAACGAAGATGGGGGCCCTTTCCAGGACCTGGACCAGGAGTTTCAGCGCGAACACGACCTTCCGCCCGAGGACCCTGAGTTTCTCCCACCTCCAGGGCTACCTCCACCCCCGCCTGCCGCACCGTCTGCCCCAGGAGGACCTGTGCCCAGCCCTGCGGCAGGCGCTTTTCTTCAAAAAATCAGGGAAGAGGATCTTCAACAGGAGGCCTAACCAACTAGGGGCCCCGTATACAGACGAAGGTATGCTGCATATTCAAGATCTCCGTCGACAGAGGGCCACTATCTGGGAGAAGTGGCAACGGGCACCCACCATCGAAGAGGAAGCTGAATGCAAACAGGCGCATCGTATGATTGGCCGACAGCTAGCACGCTTCAAACACCGCGCCCGTCATAGGTGGATGCAGCCAGCAGTCACGGACCTTATGAAATTTGCAGCTATGAACGACTGGGGGGGCCTTCTATAGAGATTTACGGAAATTGAAAATATACGTTCAGGATCGATCGAGGGGGCCAGGAACATATCACAGCTGAACAAATGATAGCTCACATGAAAGATATAAGTGGGGCTCCAGGGCGAGTTGAAGATTCAGTACTTGAGCGCGGGTTACCTTCCCTCCCGACGGACCAGTCCCTCGGGCATGTCCCCACGAAGGATGAGATCTGATATGGAATTTTGGCAACGAAAGAAAGTGCGGCAGGCAAGGCTGATCACGATTTCTATGATCAAGTTTGCGGGGGGTGATCTAATGAATAAACTTATCTTGATTATCCAAGCTCTCTGGCGAACAAAACATACGGAGTGGGAACCTTGCACTAAGCAGGCCCTGGGAGTACTATTGTGGAAAGGGGAAGGGGTCCCGCGCGGACCCGAACATGTATAGGCAGATCGTGCTCATCAATATTATCCTTCGGATTGTTGCACGCCTGGTAGCAAAGAGATGGTTGAAGCATGCAGAGGAGCAGCGCATTCCCCCGCCCACCCAGTTGGGTTTTCGACGGCATCGTGCGATGCAGGGACCTATCTTGATTGTTCGACTATTACTTGAGGCGGCGGCCGAGACCAATTATTCTAAACACCCGTCCCTGGACCCTCTGGTCACGACATGTGCGGATTATGAAAGGGTCCGAGAGGTGGTCTATTCGAACCAACGGCGCCTAGGGGTGCCCGAATCTCTAGAGAATGTGATGCGGGGTCTTTACGAGAACACGGAGTACCAGCTAAAGATGAGAGGCGGTTTGTCCCAGAGCTATACGCTCGAGAGGGGCTTCAAGGAAGGGTGCCCTTCGGCGCCCGCGGGGTTCAACATATTCCACGCTTCGGCCATGCACGACTTCAAGATGCAGGCACGTGAGCAGGGGTATACCGGCATAGAGCGTCTTCCTTTTTCCTGAGAACTATGAGTTTGGATCCCTTCGCCAGGGTACAGAGCGACGTGAACGGATACGATAGCTGAAAGTTTGATACATATTTTTGAGACCATGTTCGCGGATGATACGAATTTATTGACGCGTAAATCGCATCACGAGGGCGCCGAGAAGTTATTGGAGAAAGTTATTGGTGAATGGTCTGAAACGGTGCATCCAGATAAATACGAGAGGTTGTGTTCTGCAGTGGGTATTGATGAGAAGTACTCAGCAGCAGCTCGATTTCTAGGAGCTTGGATACGTAGCGATGGCCAGAACACGACCGACACCCAGAAGAGATTACACAAGCTGGAGTTCTGTGGAGGAGATTACGGGGCCGCTTGGTCCGACTTTCACTGGATGAGGAGATTTTGGGACAATTGTATCGCGCGACTGTATGAGCATGTCTTTTGTTTGGTTGCGAATCACGCACATTCACGGCGAAGGAGATTCAGAAATACCAGCGATTTATGAATAAGTGTACGTTGGGTTTGCTGGGCCAGAGGAGACGGCTCATGCGCGACCAGCAGGTGGCGATGACGGATTTGAGGAAACGGCTTGGCTTGGATTTAATAATTCCAACGTGCATTACGTGGCGTCGCCTACAATGTCTGGGGCACCAGCTCAGGTTGCCTGACGATCGTTTGGGTCGTGCTATCCTCTGGCCTGCGCCTTCCGAGGAGTACGTAGCAGCCCGACGCCTAGGATATGCCCGCCTCAACATTCGACAGGTCTTCAAGAGAGCCGTGGAGGGTGTTCTCGCTTTCTCTGGTATTCCTCGGGATCAGTGGCGGGCGTCTTGGGTCGCGGTTGCAAAGAATCGTCTGGTTTGGGCCATGCTCATGAGAAAGTGGCGCCGTGAAGCTCGAGTTGAAGCTTCAAAGGACGAGCGGCGACAACGCCACGCTCCTGGAGGCCCTCGGGAGAAGTACATGACTAGATACCTGAAGGCCAACATTGAGCGGGACAACATGAAAGTCCTGGAGAGTGGGGTTTGCCTGTGCCGTCTCTGAGGGGACTACTGGCCCTGGAAGGGCTTCAAGAAACACAACCAGCACTGCCGGCACCAGACCCCCGAGAAGCGCCTCATGTAGCAGACGACCAAACACAAACAATCCCAGCAGGCTCTACGGGAACTCCACCGGCTCCCCCCACCTGTTCTGGGCCTTGAAGGATACGTGGCCCCACAAGTGCTCCTTCCTGCTCCAGGACCTCCAGGGCCCCATCGTCTTCGGGGAAAACAGCCTCCTCCTCAGGCTGAGCCTCGCCGTCGTCTTAGAGGGGAACAACATCAGCCTCCCAGTTGCCATCCTCCTCTCCTTCAGCCAGACGCAGATGCAGCCGCGCTGGGCACGGGAGCAGGCTCCCATCCTATTCCAAGTCCTGCTCCGCAGACCGCCACGGCGTCGAGACCTTCGGCGGTGCCAGCTGAAGGAGCAGCTGCAGGGTCACCAGTGCCGCCACCTCCCGCACCTCACCCAGTTGCCCGCAGACGACGGGATTGCATCACCTCGCGCGCCAAAGGCGCGAGCAGCATTGCTACCCCTCCAGGCGGTTGGCCTTCGGAGGCGGGACGTACCTTGCTCGAGGAGATGATTGCAACAAATCCCGTGGATGAGGTGCGGATGGAACAACGTTGCAGATGTAAGACGTGTCAGCAGTGTTTCAGATGCAGAAGATACGGATATTGCTTCGGCGGATGTTGGATGGATCTTGGATGTGGGACGTGTTCGGGATGTAAGAAGTGTCGTACCAGCTGGACCTATAGGTTGTCCGCCTCAGGGCCCCCCGAGTGTTTTCAAACGATAGTTACGAGTCTAGTCTCCCAGCGCCTGAGCAGCCTTCAACGGTGGAGCCCCATATTTGCCTTTTGTGTCGTCAGGTGTTCCCAAATGATCCCAAGGGTAAGCTCAAACAGTATGTTCATCGGAAATCGTGTGTGCAAATGCCGTTCGACATGTGGTTAACTCGTACTCGGATGGTGACCCGTATTCGTCTTCGGGATCACCCAGTTGCGCATTGTGGCACTTACTATGCGACGGCTGATGGCGAATGTAAGCATGAACGTGGGTGCAAGGTTTGTCGCACCTTCTTCTGGTTATCGCTGAACACGGGTGTGTGTGGCATCGTACTCTTCCTGAAGCCCACGGTCTTCCTCCTAAGTACCACCCCTTCATATACCATGAGCCCCTCTCTGAACCCCTGGAGTGAGATGTACGTGCATTGGCATTGAGAGTATGTGCATTGATATGTTGAGTAAGGGCATTGGTCCTGAGAGTAGGTACATTGGAAATGAGATGTATGTGTATCACGTATGAGCATTGGGAATGAGTTGTGCATTGGAAGTGAGAGTATGTGCATTGGGTTGAGAGTATGTGCATTGGTATTGAGATTATGTGCATTGGCGTGAGAGTACGAGCATTGGGATTGAGATTGCGTGCGTTGGTCTGAGAGTATGCGCATTGGGACTGAGATGTGCAGTGCATTGTATGAGCATTGGGAATGAATTATTTGAGCACTACTATCACCGAGGCGGGGGGCCCGTAGGGCCACTACTGGTGGCCACGACGCCTTGATCGCGACGGAGCGCGCCCCCCCCCCCACCCACCCCACCCTCGGTAATTATGATTGATTCTCTTTGTCTTGGTATGTTGGGCTCGAGCACCTTTGATTGTGCAGTATAGTTTGATTTCGAGATGGCGGCTGCGGCATCTTCTGCTTCATCCGCGCCGGCGGCGCCTGCTGATTTGCTTGCCAAATGTCTGGAGGACGCCAGCAGTCGGGCCGCCAAGATCCGCAGTGGGGGGAGCTCCGACGTGATCATGTCCGAGAAGAAGGAGAGCTCCGAGCGCGAGGTACGTCAGAGGACGGGGAACACCACCCCGATTGCGGACGAGGAGATCTTCACGTTATTATTGAGAGATTTCTTGGGATTCAAAGCGCTGGCCAGGCCATCTATCGCAGCGAAGAATATCGTCATTTACTCAAGTCCAACTCGGCGGCCACAGAGTTCGGTTCTATGATCCAAGTATACATGGACCAGAAGATTCCAGCGGCACAGGAGGTGCGCGAGACGCGCAACTTCCCGAAGCATCCGCTCGACATGTCGAAGGATACGTTCAGTTTCATCAGCTTTGTATTTTTTATGCTGCCACAGCCCGAGGATTTTGCATCGGAGAATCCAGAGGACAAAGTGGGAAAAGAGACTCTCACTGCACTGATGGAGTTGAAGTCGACGGCCATCCCGTCTTTGAAGCTCTGGGTGGGAGAGTTCTCGACGAGGTACATCAAGCCGAATGAGGACTTCACGTGGAAGTGGGCCCTCACCTTCAGCGACTTCGCGCCAGAGGTTTTCCGTTTGGCCTTCTCGAACCTGCTGTTCTGGAAGGATATTGCAAAGGCGGTGGTGATCGAGCAGGCCCGCTCTTTCCAGACGCCAGACGAGCAGCGCTTGTGGGCTGCGCTGAAGGGAAAGCCGAAGCCGAAGGGTGGAGCAAAAGAAGAAGAAGTGATGTCGTCGGTGCTCAGCCCACTAACGGAGGCCATCTCGTTGCCAGTCGGTGGGCTGAAACGTTGGCTGCTCCAGAGATGCGAGGCCATGGGCCTCCCCAAGTACATCGCTGTCATGATACTGTCAGACGGGAGGGAGTTTGCAGTTCTTGATGGTGGGGAGTTTTTTGGTACCACGTTTTGATGCAGGATGCTGGACACTAGTTTCTGCCCCGGAGTGGCTTTGCACTTGGCTCTGGTATGCAGCCCACCCATCTGATCATCAGCAAAGTTTTGACATCGACCTTCAAGATGACACGATGATCCTCATTTTGTTCTATTGGCGGCTACTGTGTTGGGTCTTGGCTTCGGCTCTGACCTCGAGGTGGTGGCCGCCGATTTCTACTGCTACATGCGGGAGGACATCGAGTGCAACAACATCTTCAACACTGGAGTACCTCGCGAAGCTCAAGGACATGTGCGTCGCGAAGCCAGAGACGTACGCCGAGCGCGCGGACCGCCGGGCTGCCGAAATCTCTGGACTCAAACAAGCGTTGTCTAATCGCGACGGCCAGGCCCTGCTGATTCAGCGCAAGACGCTGATGGGGGCGCGCCTGATCGGAGCAGCCCGGTAGAACGGCCGCGCCGCTGTATGGCCTCATCTCTCGGCCAAGGGTGCTCGAACCGTCCCTCCCTCACTCCCTCCTTCGCCCCACCTCCGCGTCAGGTACTCGATCCTGACCGCTTGTGAAGCCAGACTGCCCAACTCTCGTGCAGGAGATTGCCGAAGACTAGCGGTTCACAGGGGTGTTCGCGGTCGAACCCGTTAGGCTCCCACTGAGTTGTGGTCAGGTTGCCCTCTTGCTTCTTCCCCTCCTCCCTCCTACTCCTGCTTCTCCTCCTGGTTCCTCCCTCCCGACTGCTCCTGCTCCTCGTCCCACTGCTCCTGTTTCTCGCATTTCCTGCTGCACCTCTCCGCTGCACCCGGTCGTGCTCCTGCTCCTCTTGCTCATCTGATTGTTGTCGTTGTTGAAGTTGATGTTGTTGTTGTTGTTGTTGTTGTTGTTGTTGTTGTTGTGTTTGTTAGTGTTCTTGTTATTGTTCGTGTTATTGTTATTGTTCTTGTTATTGTTGTTGTTCTCCCGCCTCGCCCCCGTTCGACTGAAAAAATCATCGGTTGGACGGTCAGTACACCGGCACTGGAGACTGTCTGATCATATCTCCCTCGGCCTGTTGCTATCAGCAGCATATCGCCATCATGATTGTAGTCAAGCACCTATCCTCGTCATCAGCATCCTTGAGTCATCATTGCCATCGTAACATCACCAGTCAGTGCTTCCATCGTCGATCATATCTGGCATCGTCGGCGTCGTTTTTGTCGCCAGAACCTTCGGTACCGCAATGTTTCTAGGGCTGTTCTGAGCGGGTAGTCGTGGCCGCTGCGATCTCCTGGGCCGTCTCAGAGAGCACCCAGGAGTGTCCCAAGGGGGCCCAGGAGAGCGTCAGCAGCCTCCAAGATGGTTCCCAGAGTGTTTCAGGAAGACTCCAGGTGCCTCCAAGAGGCACTGGCCCCCAAGGCGCCAATCAGGAGGTCCTCAAGAGGTAACAAAGTGATGGTTAAAAAACAGAAGTTGTCGAAGACGCCTACGGCGAATCACCGCCGTCGGGCCCTCTTGAGGCGCATCAGGGCCGTTTGGGATGCCGTCTTGGGCGCCTTGGAGGTTTCCTGGGCCGTCTTGGGGTCCTCTTAGGACAGTCTCGCGGGCTTCTTGGGAAGTCAGGGGACCGTCTCGGAGGCCAATTGGTCGCTCTCGGGGCCACCTTAGAGGCCTGTGAGTACGTCTGGGGCCCTCAGGAAGCCGAAAATGAGTGAACACCGAACTCCTTCAAACACCTACGGCACCTCAATGATTTTGACCTTTTTAGGCCCTCCTAGAGGTCCTCGTGGAGGCCTCTTGGGCGGTGTTTGAGGCCTCTTGAGCCGTCTTGGGGGCCTCGCGGGCCATAATGAAGCATTTCGGTCCGTCGTGGAGGCATTTTGGGCTCTGTTGGGTCCGCGGATGCCTTCTTGGAGAAAACTTCGGCAGTCTTGGAGGCCATCTTAGGGCCGTTTTGCGTGGCAAGACCGACGGAATACTAAATTTCCGCGGCGTTCCGGATGGCCTTTGGGAACCGTGGAAAACAATAACAAGTGCTCAAATCGGGCACACCGTCCACCCCTGCGGCAAGCTACAAGGGGCGGCGGATCTAGCGCCCATCGGCCCATCCCGTGCCTGGGTTGTGAGTTGTGGGTCAGTGTCCTCATGGACGTTTCTTGGAATCTCGTCGGAAGGCTCGATGACCTCTGGGGGCAGTTGTTGCCCCTCTGAGGAAACCTCTTGGTGGCCTCTTGGAGGCTCCTGGGGCCCTCTCGGGGCGGATGGTTCAAAATCTAGGTTCGTGTCCCCCCTCTGAGATCCATCTCGGGGCGTCCTTGGGGACCTCTTGGGCTGTTTCTGTACCATATTGGGCCGTCTTGGGGACCTCTTGGGCTGTCTTAGTACCATCTTGGACGTCTTGGAGGAAGATTTGGCCGCCTTGGAGCGTCGGGGCCCCGAAAAGGCGGAAACGCCCAAATCCCTCGAACAGTTATTCGGAACCAATGAGTCTTGCCTGTTGGGGCTTTCTTGGGAGTGCTCTTGGAGACCTCTTGGGGCATCTTGGAGGCCTCCTGGGCCGTTTGGAGGCCATCTTGGACGTCTGAGGGCGACCTGTCGGCGAATCGAAGCCCTTTTGGACACATTGTAGGGTTCGGGAGGTCTTTTTGTGCGGCAGGGCGTCCAGATGACCAACACGAAACACTCCAGAACTCACGGGGGAGACCCCTGGAGAGCCCGGAAAGGCCCAGAACACCGGTGGGCTCGGGCCCTTACAAATCTACAATCTTGGTTGCAGCAGAAGCGCAGCTGCGAGCCTTGGGGCACTCGACTGTGTGCTCGAGGCACGGTGGCGGATTGGCACTGCAGAATGTTGGCGCCAGGTCACATTCATGGATGTCGTTGAAGAGCGCGAGGCCCAAACATGTTTGAGATGTCTCTGCAGCCTCAAATATTATTCGTCCAATGCGTATCGCTTGGGATCTGTTCCAGCCTGAGCGCAAACCAAGTTGAATTGAACGAATCCCACCAGCCCTTGAGGCACAGGTGGTAGAACGGGACTTCTCTCCGTTTTTCCGCAGCCCTTTCTTCCCCCAGTCACGGAGGGGTACCGTTCCCTTGGGTTTGGACGCTTGCCGGATGGAAGGGCTGAAGCGCCCAAGGCTAAGGTGGCCCAAGATGGCTCCAAGACGGATCCCGGCCCCCGATGCGCCGAGATGGCCACCAAGATGGTTTCAGCCAGCGGGAGGTGGTTCTCCCATAAGGCTTCGATTGGCCCCCAAGTCATACATCGGGAGGCCTTTCAATGGTATAACGTGGTAGGGTGCCCCCATGGGTGCCTTTGTGGTGGGCGCGAAGTCAGGAGCCCTGCCTCAGACGCGCGGCGCTTCGTGAGCCTCACCGCGCTAGTCTCCCCAGTTCCCGAATTTGCTGCTGCCCAATCGGGTGTTCACCTTTCCCGCCTTTCCAGGTGCCGGGCATGCGTCAATCGAAGAAGACAAAACAACACAAACATAGATGTTCGAAGCTTCTCGCGGAGTTTTTGAATCTGCGTTGGGCCCCCTGGCGGCGCGTCCAGCGCCGCCCCTGGCGCGCTCCGCGCGCCAGGCAGGGGTCCAAAGCAGATCCGAGAAATCCATGCGAGCCCCCGAATGTTTGTGTATGCAATGGCTCCGTTTTCTGAGCAAGCAGAAATGCTTGTTCACCTCAGTGACTAACCCCAGGAAGCATTTAAGAACCCCCCCGGCGATATCTTAGCACCGCATTTTTATTCGATATTCCGAGGGGCCGAAATAACCGAACGATAGGTTTAGCACCCGGACACAAAACAAATTCGCGGAGGCCTGGCCCCTGGGCCACAATCGAAATTCGAAATTCAAATCTGCGTGGCTCTCATGAAAGACTCAGGATGTCGCTTGCTGCTTGGAAAACTCATGCAATGATAATAGTATTAATATTCGCAAGCATATTTGATGACTCCTAACGATTTGAATGGATCCATCAGGTTTCATACAAGTTCCGCAGGATTCTCAAGGATACCTACGGATTCACAATGATTCGTCAGGATTCATAAAAGATTCAAAGGATGTCCAGGGATTCCTGAATATTTCCAAGGAACCCAAAGAATTCCTCAGGAATCTGGAGAATCCCAAAAGATTCGCAAGAATTCCTTAAGAGTCCTAAAGGTTTTCCTTTACTGCTTATGAATTCCTGTTCCTTGTCTTGCTCCTCCTTCTCCTCTCCTCCTCCTCCTCCTCCTCCTTCTCCTCCTCCTCCTCCTCCTCTCCTTCTCCTCCTCCTCCTCCTTCTCCTCCTCCTCCTCCTCCTTCTCCTCCTCCTCCTCCTCCTGTTCTCTCTTCTGATATGCTGGCCTCTTGGAAGAGATTTCTCATTCAAAACCCTTCTAGAAATTGATTTTCATCGGCCGTCCTAGGGGAAGGTCCACGAGAGGGTATCCCGCCCCCCACCGCACCGTGGCGTTATCTTAGCACCCGGCCACGCGAAAAAACACTCCAGTTCTATTCCTGCGGGTGTCCTAGGGATTCCTAAGGATTCATCTGGGATTCTTAAGGATTCCCTTACGATTCCTGCGCCTTCCTAAAGCTTTCTGTGGATTCCTCAGAATTCCAGAAGACTCCTTTAAATTCCGAAGGGCTCGTCGCAAATTCCAGGGGATTCCTCATGAATGTTAGGATTCCTAAGGATTCCTACAGGGTCCTCAGGATTCCTGAGGATTCCTAGAGATTCCTAAACATTCGTTCTCCTCCTTCTCTTCCTCCTCCTCCTCCTCCTCCTCCTCCTCCTCCATCGCCTCCTCTCCTTCCAGTGCTTCAGACTTGTGAGCGACGCTTCCATCTCATCAAGAATCCAATCTGACCTGGGCAAGACACAGGACAATCTGCCGACGATCCGTTCTGAGTCAACTGGAAAGGCTGAGAAACTTGGGAAAGCTGAGAAACCTGAGGAAGCTGAGAAGCCTGGGAAAGCTGAGAAAACTGAGACAACTGAAAAGTTGTCCCTGCTCCTGCTTCTCCTCCATTTCCTGTTCATGTTCCTTGTCTTGTTCCTCCTTTTCCTCTCCTCCTCCTCCTCCTCCTTCTCCTCATCCTCCTCCTCTCCTCCTCCTCCTCCTTTTCCTCCTCCTCCTCCTCCTTCTCCTCCTCCTCCTCCTCCTCCTCCTTTTCTCTCTTCTGATCTGCTGGCCTCTTGGAAGAGATTTCTCATTCAAAACCCTTCTAGAAATTGATGTTCATCGGCCGTCCTAGGGGGAGGTCCACGAGAGGGTATCTCGCCCCCCCCGCACCGTGGCGTTATCTTAGCACCCGGCCACGCGAAAAAAACACTCCAGTTCTATTCCTGCGGGTGTCCTAGGGATTCCTAAGGATTTATCGAGGATTCTTCCTCATCTCGTCTCCTCCTCCTGCTCGTGGGGGCAGGAGGAAGTTCGTGGGTGGAGGAGAGGAGGAGGAGGAGGAGGAGGATGAGGAAGAGGAGGAGGAGGGCTCCTGGTGCCAGGTAACGCTTCCAGGGTGCGGAAGGGTTATCGATTTGCCGGAAGGGGGGGGGGGGTTCTTAAATGCTTCCTCAGTGACCTCAGTGACTACTCAGTGTGAGTGCTGTTATCCTATCTTCCCTTATGGTGCTCGTATTTCCTCGGCCCATCCCGCATATCTTTTTTTTTGCACTGGGCTGTCCTGAGTTGAACTCCGATCCGATCTGGTTTTCCCAATCAAGGCGTTCTCGGTCCCTCAAACATGGTGTTGCCGCTGCAGCGTTGGCCGCCGGCGCGTTGCTCTGGCCGTTCAGATGCCTGCTCTCGTCCCATCGAGGGATACGTGTCTGGATTCGATTCGTCCCTCGTCGTTGCCGACCCCATCCTTTACCCTCCGACTTCCAGCGGTCGTCTTGCTTCTCTACCCTCCTGCTATTCATGCTCCCCTTCATGCTTCCTCATTGTTCTGTGCTTCGTCCTGGTCGTCCTCATGCTCATTGCCTTATCATCCCTCCTCCTCGCCCGCTGTACAAGGCACCACTTGTGAGATCAGAGGTCACATCACACAGTCGGGTTATTTGTGAGATCGAAGTCATCGAGGTCACAACGGCTGGCAATTTGAAGGGATGGGTGGGAGGGATAGGATGTCAAGTATTGCGCGAGCGCGCCTAGTTTGTCTTCCTCTACCTTCTCTTCGGCCGCGCTTCCCCCCTGAAGCGAGAGACCTTTATGAGACCGTGCAGTTCCGTCGGGGCATCCGCAATCCTCGAGGTGGAGAAGAAGCAACGGGTTCCACACGCAGCCTCTTTGGCTCAACAGGTCACGTTTGCCCCACCAGACACTAACGCAGTCTGATCGCGCCTCCCAGATGGCCGCGTTCAAGTTCGCAGCCTTGCTGCTGGTCACATGCCCGGCCACCGCGCATGCCGCCTCCTTGCGGTCGAACACGAGGGCGGCCGCAAATCCGGTGCGCAGGGTTGTCTCGATGTTGCAATCGATGCAGAAGAAGGTTGAGGCGGAAGGCGACAAGGAGGAAGAGATGTACAAGAGATTCTCATGCTACTGCAAGACGGGGGCCACCGATCTCTCGGCAAGCATCTCCGCTGCGGGTACGAAAAGCACACAGCTTGGCTCCGACGTGAAGGCAGCGGAGGAGCAGCTCGCCCAGGTGAAGCAGGGGTTGGGGGATGCGCAGACAGAGCGTGCTGAAGCCAAGACGGCCGTCGCCAAGGCGACCTCGATCCGGAGGAAAGAGGCCGCCGGGTTCGCGGCAACAAAGGCAGAGCTCGAGAGCTACATCTCCGCCATCAAGCAGGCAGTCGCCGCGCTCACCAAGGGAATGGCGGGTGGATTCCTACAAACTACCTCGGCGAGCTTGTTGCGCAAGATCGTCCTGACCAAGGGCGACGCCATCCAGGACGAAGACCGCGAGGCGCTCCTTTCATTCCTGTCTGGGAAGGACAGCTCTTCGTACGTGCCCCAGAGCGGGGAGGTGACAGGGATTCTGAAGGAAATGGGCGACAGTTTCTCGAAGAGCCTTTCAGACGCCTCTGACACGGAGGCCAACGCAATCAAGGAGTTCGAGGCTTTGGTCGCCGCAAAGGCCAAAGAGATCGACGCACTTACACTGTCCATCGAGGCCAAGACCTCGAAGAGCGGGTCGCTGGGCGTGACCATCGTCCAGATGAGGAATGATATGAGCGACTCGGAAATTGCGTTGCTCGAGGATCAGAAGCTCCTCCAAGAGTTGGAGTCGGGCTGCTCTACGAAGGACAAGGAATACGAGGAACGCGTGAAGACGCGTCACGACGAGCTCGCCGCCCTCACCGAGACCATCAAGATTCTGAATGATGACGATGCGCTTGACCTGTTTAATCCAGAGGGTCACCCATGTGCCGCTGCCACCCCCTCCTTATGGATTCGCTGTTTTGTGGAATCCTCTGTGGGGGTTCGTGGGATCAATCTGTGCGATTTCGTTGACAGGGTTGAGCCGTCCAGCGGCAACCCTGGACGATCGTCAGGCCCTCCTGGGGACTTGTTGAGCTACCTTTGGTCTTTCTTGGGCCAGCTTGGAGCGTTTCAGGCCCATCGCAGGGCCATGCGGGAGCATTTGGGCCATCTGTTGAGTAGGGCCGAGGGTCAGAGAGCGCATTCCTCTGCAGGACCACCCACAATGCGACGCCAAGGTGGTAAAACGACGCCTCGCCGGTTAAGCCGACGAAGATGTGCGAAATCCCGCCACTCGTTTATGTCCAAAGTTTAGGTTCGACGCCGGGTGTGTTGCATCAGTTTCAGCTTGACCGAACATGTTGGTTGCGCCCCTTGACGTCCGTTAAGGGTGTTCTGCAGACCTGGCCCCCCAGACACACTCAAGCCATCTTCGGCCCGACGCGAACTCTGGGGAGTCTCTAGTCGCGTCCTGATGCGCCCAGAGCGCAAAACGCGAAATGTTCCTCAAAGAGTGCTTGCACTTAAGGGGTCCTTGCGTTTGTCCCTTCAGCACTTGCACGGGTTCGCCGAGGATTTTCCACGTTGCCGTGGTCGCTCGCGGGCGCCCCGTGCGGTGTATGAGGACGCCGAGGTGGCGCCGCCTCGTGGGCGCTCGTGGGCGCCCTGTGCGTTAGGTGGGCTGGCCGAGGTTGCGCCACGTTGCCGCCAGCGCCGCCTGATGGGCTCTCGTGGGCGCCCCGTGCGCTGGTTGCGTCGGCCGTGGTTGCGCCCCATTGCCGCCCGTGCCGCTTCGTGGGCGCTCACGGGCGCCACGTGCGCTAAGTTGCACCACGCAGCTTGTTCCGCGTAGCTTGCACCGCGAAGCTTACACCACACAAACTTGCAGCGCACGGCTCGCACAACATAACTTTCACAGCATAACTTCCACCGCATAGCTACCACCTTCAGCTCAGACCATATATATATATATGTATATATATATATATATATACATTTGTGTTGCGTGGGTGTAGATAATTGGAGGCACGGTTAATGATACGCCCCTATAAGCCCCGGTGCTGATTATCCCCGGCAAAAATATGTTTGGTCGGCGGTGGGGAGCGGCGAGACCAATTGTTGTTATCCGCCTGACCAAATACCAGTGGCAACTGCTATCTTCTTGGCATGGGTATCAGCGTTATTAGTACAACCGTTGCTATGTATGTATAGTAACGTTTACTCCTACGGTTGTATTAATGTGTCTCGTGGTGGTTCGCACCCTATTCGCATTTTCACATTCGTTGACACCCCCCCGACCCCTCCCCCTTCCCCGTAACGGTGACGCCTGAAAAGCTGACCACAGGAGGAATTCCGCCGCCCAACTCCGGCTCCTTGGCGTCTGAGCGTCCGAAATCCACGTCTTTGAGCGGCGGGGGTCCCGGTGGAGAGGGCTCCCAGCGGCCCCGAGTTTTCCTCCGTCTGCGCGGCCACCACCTCCCAGGGACGTAGATTTCGAGCTCTCTGGCGCTGCGGGGGGCCGATCTCGAAGTCCCTGGGCGGCGGCGCGCCCTGCGGCCTCGGCCGGGCCTCTGCGGGCCCACCACTGCCTAGGAAGATATCGGGCGATCCCAAATCGACATCCTTGGTTGGGCGGCAGCGCGTTCTGCGGCCTCTGCCGGGCGCCCTCTGGGACGCCAGGAAGGCCCCGCCAGAGAGATCAGGGTACCGCTGTACCACAGTAGTTCTCAGGTTTCGTGCTCCTTCCGCCCGTCCAGGGGGGCCCCGCCAGAACGAGCAGGGCATCCTTATACCATAGTAGTTTTCAGCTGTCCTGCTCCTCCAACCCCTGCGGCGAGGTCACGCCCAAGCGCGGGTGGTGAGGATTCCCCCGTGCAGGCCCGCGAGTACATCCGTACACCGTAATGGGAGCAAACGATTAAACAAAGATTTGGGGCCGGACGATTTAAAAAATAGTTTCGCCGGCCTGGGCGCCCCCACAATAGGGGGAGACGGGGCTCGGCCCACGGAGGGGCGACAATTCGAGCGGCATGGGGAAGGCTGAAAGCCGAGGGCTGACCACCCTGCCTCCCGATTTCCCCAATCCCAATATACCCTCCTTCTTTTGCGACGGCAACACAGGCGGACGCACTCCTCTCCTCCGCGTGCCCGAAAGCGAAGAACGCTTTGGGAATGTTGAACTGCTTCTTGCGTAGCAACGGCGAAGAAAGCTTTGGGAATGTTAAATGATCCAATCATCCCAGGAGTGCAAAAGCACCGGCGAGAGCAGGAGGAAGAGGAGAAGAGGGAACGGGGGATAAGACGAGGGGAGAGGGGAAGGCTGATACGAAATTGCCCCAAAGTCGTATCATGTAGACGCCGCGCAGCGAGGCGGAGAAAATAAGTCGAACCACGATGAACATAATACTGCAGGTCCTCCTCGTAATAAAGTATCTACAAGGACCCGAAGGAATCCTCGAAACTGCGCCGCGCGTGGCTGCCCCAAAGCGACGCCTGAAAAAATGCGGCGGGACGGGAGGGGGGAGGCGATTTAAACGCTAGTTTTCGGCACGCCGTCACGGCGCGAGCCCAGGGGCGTTGCGGGGCGGGGGGGCGGGGGGGGGGCGGGCGGCAGGACGATTAAAAAAATAGTTTCCGATGCCCGATTTATTCGTCCACCCCACAAAAGAATCAGGGACCCCGGGGGGGGAAGGGGGGGGATTGTTTAATCGTCGACTCCCATTACATCCGCATACTCAAATATATGTCTGACACTTCTTACATGCGTGCTTTTGACGTGCGGACGCGAGCACGCGCGCAGCCGCGGCGCTCGACCCCACCCAAAGGCTCAGTCCGGGAGCTTTGGGAGCTGCGCAATGCGTTGCGCAGCCAGGCATGCAAACGCCTCCGCGCTGCCTCCCGCGCCGGGCAAGTCGCCGAGGAGCAACGCCGCCTGGCACCGCGCCGGCTGACGCTACCGCCAGCCCAGGCACGAGCTCCCCAGCAGGCCAGCTGCCGACGTCGCACTGCCGCCGCAGCGGGGGCAGAAGACGTGGCCGGGTCCGCGCGCGAGGGCGTGAGGCCACCAAGAACGCCTGGCGAAAAACGCGGCCAGCATGTCGCCATTGCTGACGGGCGCATCGGCGCCGCTCCGGCGCGGGCAGGTTGGCGCTTGCGCCATGTGGCCAGCGGGGGCGTCGGCCGCCAGGGCGGACGCCGCGCGGGCCCGGTCGCCGCGGCGAACCCTGCGCCAGTCGCGTTGGCGGCGGCGCGCGGCAGGCGGCGCCGCTGCGAGGGCGGCCTGTTGCGCGGCGCCATAACGCGCTGCGCAGCCTCCAGCAGCTGCAGCTCCTGTCAGCGGGCGCGCACTGCGTCTGGCGGCGGCGCCCTGTTGGCCGCTGCCGCCCCAGCATTGCCGTCGGCCGCCGCGTTGCCGAAGCGGCCCCGTTCGCTTAGCCCCAGGCGGCGCGCCTCCGCTGGCGTCTTGTGGGCTGGCACCCAGCGAGCCCAGAGCCGGCCGCTGCGCACGGCGTCCACCAGCGAGTGCCAGAGGTCTGCGTGCGCCCAGTCCCGCGGGTCAGCACCAGCCTCGATTTTGGCGCACCCCCGCGCCGCGCACTGGCTGTCCCAGGCAAAGTCGACCGGGCCGCCCGCAACGCGAGCCGCCGCCACCGCAGCTGTCACGTCGGCCCTCTGCGCCGTCTGCAACCCGTCGACCGGCCCGACGAGGTTGGGGGTTGCCAGTCCCTTGACCTGGAGGCCCCGGGCCGCTCGCGCCAGCAGCGGGTCAACGGGGTGGAGGCATGCCTCGTCGCTGCACACGGTGCGGCGGGGCGCTGTTGGGAGCAGTGCCGCTTGGGCTGGTAGCTGCGGGCCCTCGCGCCCAGCGGCCTCTGCGACGCTGGGCAGCAGGGAGCGGCGGCGTCGCCAGAACCCCTGCCAGGGCGACCCCCGCTGGCAGCAGCCCCCGAAAAGCCCAGGCGCCCCCAGGCAGCCCCTCCGACCGCGGCGAGTCAGCAAGCGCAGCACGGCGCGGGTCCTCCCACGCCGGGCACAGCCAGAACCTGCGCTCGCGGTCCTCGTTGGCCAGGCCGCAGCGCAGGCGCAAGCCCTTTGGTTTCTTACGACGCTGCTGCACAAGGCGCCGTGCAGCGCCTTGGCGGCCTCGGGCGCGAGCTCGTCGGCGGCGAGCAGGCGGCCGGTGGCCCACCTGTCTACATCGCCTGCCAAATGGGCGAAACACGGCCTTCGCGGAGCGACCTTGCGGCGCTCGGCCCAGCTCCACGCGGCCACGAACACGTGCTCAGTGGATCGCCTCGAGTGCTCCGCCGGGCGCCGGCCGCGCGGCGACGCCGACGCGCCGACCCAGCGCCCCATGTCATCGCCCAGCCCGGGCTCTCGCAAGCTGCGCAGCGCGGCTGCCGCAGGGCCAACGGCACGAGCTGCTCCAGCGTGGGCTGCGGCGGCCGCGCGGCGCCACGAAGCGCGAGCTCCCCTGCCCAGAGCGCCCGCGCAGCCTGCAGCGCCAGCGCGATGCATGCCGCCGCCTTCGGGCCCAGACAAATGGTCTCTCCCGAAGCCTCCGCGGCCTCGCGCTCGAGAGCGAGGTCCCGCGCGAGCCCCTCGGAACCGACGCCGCCGTCAGCGCCGCCCCATGCCGCGCGCCATCGCGCCTGCAGCTGCGCCCTGCCCGCGGCACAGACGCGGCGCAGCATGGGGAGCGGCCAAATCGGCATGCGGCCCAGTGGCCCGCCGCCACCGGGCTTGAGAAGGAGCAGGCCCTCGGGCCCGCGCCGTTTTTCCGGCCAGCGGCCCGTCTGCTCGACGGATTCGAAAAGCTCCGCGACCCATTCGAGCAGCTCGCGGGACAGGAGGCGAAGCTCCGCGACTGCCCCATCCGCCCAGGCTGGGCGCCTGGCTCTTTGCCATCGGCCAGGGGATCGCCTGGGCCAGGTCGGCCGCCCACGGCGCCCTATCCGGGAACGGGGGCAAGGAGTCCAGCTCAACGAGCCATTCCTCCCCAAAGGCGGGGGGTCGCTGGAACCGGTCGCTGCCGCAATGCCCGCCAGCGATGCCCCGTGTAGCGGAGTTGGGCGGTAGCGCCGCCTCGCAAGGAGCAGCGCCAGCGTCGACCACCACGCGGCGAGGCCGATGCCCCGGCAACGGCGCCCGCGGGAGGGTCTGGCACAAGGGCGGCCGCCAGGGCGCCGTCCGAAGGATCCATTCGGGCCAACGACCTCCGCCGTTCCCCATCGCCCGGCGCGCCCGCTCGCGCCAGGAGCCGCGGCGGCGGTCGCGGGCAGCCCGCTGCGCCCCCCGATGCCCGAGCTCGGCCAGCGCGACGCCCCTCTCGAGCAGACCTGGCGCCAGCGTGGGCCGCTGCAGGTCGGCCGCCCAGGCGGCCCCGGCATGCCCGCCCCTGACCGGCGCTGCAGCGACGGCCCGCGCTCGGTTGCCGCCGCGGCCCCGGCGGCTCGCGACGCGGCGCATGGGGCGCAGCCGCGGCATCCGGTGTAGCGCCGCGTCGGCTGCTTCGTCGCTGGCCTCGCCGCCGGCGCCCGAGGCGCGCGGCCGTCTCGCGCGCCATCTCGCGTCGGCGCGCTGCCGCGCGAGCGGCCCCAAGCATCTCATGCGGCGACTCAGCCACTCGCGCATGGCAGCCTCCGACGTGCCCCAGGCAGCGTCAAGACGACCGTCGCGACGGCCAGCACAAAACGCTGCCCTTCGCTCTTGCAGCACTTCGTCGGCGACGCTCTGCCGAGCCTCTGACCATCCATCCGCCACAGACCCAGCGAGCGTCAAGGGTCGCCTCCGAATAGCTGCGCGCCCAGGCGCACCTCGACGGCCAGCCCCACCTCGAGCGCCGCATGCGTCGCGAGGCCAAGATCCCAGCGCAGCCCTGCAGCCGCGACGCGTTCCATCGCCAACGCATTGGCGAAAACATAATCGATTCTGGATGGGCCGCCTGGGCTCGGTAGGCAGATGGGCCCAGCCTGGGCCAACGCATCCGGCCAGCCAGCCATGGCCAAGAGGGGTTCCACGCTGGCCCCATGCAGCACGAGGTTGAAGCCCCTCACCAGCAGCGCCGGCACGTCGCCGAGCGACCGCAGCCACGAAACCGCTGCCAGGAGCAGCGCCTCCTTGTCCTCGGCAGCGGCCGGGCCGTCAGCATGGCCACAGACCTGCGCGATGCGCGTGGCTTGCCGGCCTCCGAGGTGGAGGACAGTGCGCTGCAGTCCCAAGGAATCCGTATATTGCGACCTGCCGGTAGCAATTGCATATTATCCCAGCGCCCCGAATTGCAATGTCCAGATGGAAGTGTTCCCCAAAATGTTCGGCGATGCAGACATATCTACCAACCTACCTCTGCCTCTACATCTACCGACCTACCTACCTACATGCATACTTACGTACATGCATGCATGCGTATATATCAGACATGCATAGTCGCACCCGGCTCGAGCTTCTGTCTTCGAGTCGCACCGGCCACGCAATACCCCAAAAGCTTGCGCGGTGCGCTATGGATTCAACTCTCGGGGCCTTCTTGATCGCCCCAGCAGATGCAGACCACGCCTTCGAGCACAGAGGCGCGGACTAAAACCGGCCCCCTGCTCGAGACCACGGGCCGCAACCCCAAGCTGTGGCAAGCGCTCCAGCGCCTGAAGACCTAAGCGGCGGTAGTCCAGACGGACGCGAAGACGGCGGCGCAGAACTTCCTGGCCGGCCACCCGGAGGAGGCCAAGGAAGGGGGGGCGCAGGAGACCCCGCAACCGGCCGGCGCGAAACACAGACGCCTGACGCTCGGAGGCACCATCGCCGGGGCGGCCGCCCTGGCAGCCGGAGCCCCGATGGACGAGGCCGACAACGACGTGAGCACGTTGGGCCGCCTGTTGACTCCCATGGCGAACATGCAGAAATTAGCGCGGAAGTTGGACGCCCCGCTCAGCAATGACACAGCTGCATGGGAGGGCCGGGCCACGAGCATGAAGGAGTTCTACGAGGGCATGGACAGCGGCCCGCTCGTGTTCGCGCCACGGCGGAACCAACGAGTTGCTGGGCAAGGCGCGCTCGGCCGGCCCGCTCATCACCTTCGACGCGAAGTACTGCAACGAGATGAAGGAGACCCTGGAAAAGATCGAGTCGAAGATCGGGGTGGGAGGCATGACGAACAAGGTGTCTGCGATCATGGCCGGCGGCCCGCTCCGGAAGGCGATCGAGAGCACGCCGAAGGGCATCTGCGCGGCGCAGATTGAGATGGGGGCCGAGAGGGAGCACTTGCACACGCGGTGGCCGATGCCGGTCGCCGCGCACTACTGGACAGGGACGCTCCTCGAGAAGATCCGCCGCAACGCGAAGGAAGGCGCCGAGGCGATCATGGAGAAGGCCAAGGGCACCGGCATCATGGAGACCGCTCCGCGCCCGGCCCCCGCCCTGCCCCCTCCCCCCCCCCCCCATCCGCCCCCCCCCCCCCCCCCAGTCCTCTCTGGAGCGGGTCGCGCGCGACGGGCTCGGAGCGAAACAGCGCCTGCGGCGACGGAGACAACCCGACAGGGGAGTTCATCTGAAGCGAAACCCGTTGTCCTTATCCTTGGCGTTCCCCCCACCCACCCCCCCCCCCCCTCCCCGCCCGCCCCCCGCCCCTCCTGCTCCCCCTGCCTGCCCCCGCCCGCCCCCCCCTTCCCTCTCCCGCTCCCTGCCCCCCCCCCACCCCCCCTCTCCTCTCCTTCTCCTTGCCATGGGGGAGGACACCTGCTCGCCCCGAGGCCGCCGGGCGAGTCAGGGGGGGCGAGCGGCAGCGACCCGCCGTTTATGATCCAAGCTCCCGTCGTCCATCATTTTCGTCGAAGGCAGATGAGGGCCGAACGGCCCACGTTTACCCCCCCGACTTGCCCCCCAACCCGCCCTCCACGCGCCGCAACAGCATCGAAGCGCGCGCGCCATTTCCTTCTCGCCCCCCTTCGGAAGGCAGGGCAGAAGCCCGGCGCCTTCCGTTGGGGAGACCAGGCAGAGCAGAAGTTCGCGCGCCTGGTCGTCTCTGCTGGCGAGTTCACCAGAGGTGGCCCACTGGCGCGCACTTTTCTTCGCTGGCACAAGCGCGCGCGCAACTGCACAGCCCAAACAGTCGCAGCGCCGTCAGAGGCGCGACGGGTCAGCCGCGGGGCCACCCCCAGCGGAGACCGACCAGCCTCACGCCTATGCCCACTTGCAATACGAATCGCGGAATCCGTAGCGTCGACGCTCAGGACAGACGGAGACGCGCGCGCACGGCGAAAAGCCGAGTGGCACGCAGGGGGCACAGGTTAGCGGAACAAGAGCTGAACGGAAATGACACCCGGACCCGGGCCCAAGCCCAACGCACCAATAGCAGCGGTGGAGCCAGTGAAATACGGACACACAATTCGCACTGCATCATTCCATTCGAAAAACATGAATGATGCGGTGATGCGAGAAGAAATCGAAGCTTGGCTGCCCAGGAACAAGACAGGGATAGCTGGTTTGCAAGAGCCCACGTAAATACAAAGTCAAGGGAACAGGGGCAACAATGCCACATTCTCCTCCGGGGAACCCAGCACAGGGGAGGCAGCATGGTTCACAGCAGACGTGGGGTTTATGATCCAGAAGGAACACGTTAAACATGTGGTGGATGCGACCCCCGTGAGCGATCGCATGTGCACGCTGCCGTTGGCGCACGCACCGCCCATCCACATCATCGCAGTGCGCGCGCTCTTTGCAGAACGACCAGAAACTGGAAAAGAAACTGTTCTATGACGCGCTCGAGAGGGGATTCGCCAGAGGCCCGGGTAGTGGCCCAACGAGTATCACGGGAACTGGAACGCACGGGCGCACTGCGCGACCCCAGAGGAGGCGGCGGCAGCCATGGGAAAACACGCGCTCGATCCAGAAAACACGCACCCGCTGGGGCGGGCAGAAGAATCCGCGCACAACCGGCACCTCTTCCTGACCTTCTGCCAGACGCAACGGTTAAAGGCAGCAAACACAGTTTTCCAGAAGCCCCAGAGCAAACTCGCCACGCACAGAGAACCGAGAACGACTTTTGACAGCCCATTCAAAAGAGGGGCGCGTGAAAACATCGATTCCTTCTTGGTCATGCAACGATGGCAAAATTCGGTTCTGGACTGCGAGACGGATAGATTGGCGAACATCTCGACAGATCACAATCCACTCACCGCTATCATTCGGATCAAGTTGAAAGTTGCCGAGAAGTCACAAGGACCCAGCAGCAGCAAATCTATGGAATGCAACATACACGAGCGGTTGAAAGTGAGCGATGGCTTCCGCCAGGCAATGCAGGACAACGGGGATCTAAGGGAAGCCGCGAAGCTAGCTCGCGCTTCTCTTCCGAAGGACCGACGCAAAGCCCGACGACAAACCATGCCGCGCCGGATGGAAAATTTTCTTGACCAAAAGCACAGGATGATGACCGCCGGTAGGATTGGATGCTTTGCTGATCCGACACAGATGTTCCGCAGCAGTCGCCGAGAAGATAGATGACAGCATGTGCTGAGTACCGCGCGCGAGGAGATTGACGTTCGCGACAGACAGATGGGAATCAGAAGTCCTGAGAAGGACTGCCAACCGCAGTCGTACAATGTGAAAAAGAAGGATGGCACACATAGTCCGCGGCACCAAATGTTGGAAGAAATGGCCGAGCAGTTGGCGACAGCAATGGGGGCGCCAACCGGCCGAAACCGTAGTTCGTAGCGCTACTCCAATCGTCGCAACACCGGTTCACGTAGACCTAGGGCCTCTGCGCAAGGAAGGACTGACAGACACAATAACGAAGCTGAGGCGCCGCAGGGCCCCTGGATCCGACGACATACCTACAGAGCGCACCTTGGACCCAATCTTGGCACTTCTGAGCGAACGGTGGAGCAACGTACGCATCCCGCCAGATGTGTTCGAGGCTCGCGTAATGCTGATATTCAAAAAAGGAGACACGAGCAATCTAGCCAACTACAGGCCGGTAGCTTCATTGAACACAATTTACAAGATATACGCGGCGCTGATACAACAGCGATTAGTGGCAAGCTTGGAAACACACGTGCAACGGACACATTTCGGACTTCGAGCCAAAAGATCCACCTCGGCAGCCATGCGCTGCGTGCGCAGGGCCGCAGAAGAGGCAGAGATCACAGGCCAACAGGTCTCTCTGGTATTACTTGACTGGGAGAAAGTGTTTGACAAACTCACCCGGAAGGGTTTGTTTTCGGCTCTGCGCAGGATGGGAGCGCCCGCTAAGTTGCAAAACGTAATCAAGTCATTGTACCTGGACCCCAAGCTCAAAGTTGTATACGACGGACAGACATCCCATTGGCACTCGCAGGATTCTGAAATCTGGCAGGGCTGCCCCCTATCGTCATACCTGTTCTTGGTTGCCATGTTCGTCATGTTCCACGATGCCCACCAGACCGTTGGCAACACCATAGCGGGGCACAGGGGGCGAATTTCGATGACATTTTAGGCGCAGATGACACGACTGTTGTCTCTAAAGACACCAGGTCACTGAACAGGATTATGACAGCAATCGAACGGAGAGGATGTAGATATGCAATGAATTAGAACAAGGGGAAGTGCGAGGTAGTCGCAGCCCATGGTCATCCCAACGTACAGTTTGCTGATGGCATTAAGGTCAAGCGCGTGGACGAAGTACAATACTTGGGGTGCCGTTTAAACAAATAAAACATGCGACAGCACGCGGGAAGTACAAGCACGAATCGGGGCGTGCATGGCCACGCTGAAGAAAATTGACGTGCCCTGGAGGCACAGCAGCTGTTCTGTCGAATTCAAATTACAAGTGCAAGATGCAGTCAACAAGTCTAAGCTCCTGCACGGACTCGAATCAGCCCAGTTTACACAGGGCACATTGAATCGATTGGACGCCTTTCAGCTCAAAGGACCCCCGGAAAATCTTTGAAGTTGGAAATAAGATGCGTCAACCGAGCCAACACGAATGAACGAGTTTACGAGGCGACCGACGACGCGCTTCGACCAGGAGGAAGAGAACGCAAACCCATCATGAAGTTCAGCGCAGCGTACGACAGGAACACATCGTTACTCGATCAAGCCACTGTCCGAGCTGAACCGAATCACCCTGCTCATGGAGTTACATTTGACCCCATCACATTGCAGCCCAGGCAGTGGACACGCAGGAGTGTAGGCCGCCCCTGGTTGAACTGGGCGGAACAAACACGAGCTGAATTTTGAAAAGCTATTCGGGGATCGTTGCCGCCAGCTCCGCTCCGCAGAGGTCGATACTACGAACCCTCTTCCACATCCAAGCTATCCGAGATGCCGCCCACAGACAGATCCTTGTTTGACAATCGTCGTCATCCCGATGTTGTTGTTTCGTCCCCCCCCCCAGCCCCGCTAGTGCTCGAAGAGATGCAGCTCGACAGCCAGCGCGCTCCGCCACGCATGCACCGTGGCACCCGCAGCTACGGGCGCGGAAGCGCGGTGTTCGCGCAGCGTGCCAGCAAAAAACACACATATACATACATACATACATACATACATACATACAAACAAACAAACAAACAAACAAACAAATATACATACATACATACGAACATACAAACATATATACCTACATACACACATACATACATACACACATGCAGGCGTGCACCCATGCATCAATGCTTACACATTAGTATAAAATGGTATTGTATATATATATATATATATATATATATATGCATGCGTGCACACACCCAGGCATATTTGCGAGTATCCATGTGATCGTGCATACATATGTGCATCCATATGTACATACATACACGCATACTTTCAGAGACACATGCATATAAACACAAATGACCATGGCACAGTTTACACCATTTACTCCACGCTGGATACTCCACATAACTCACACCTCTACAGCGCACGCCACATAGTTAGACGACATCAATTGCACCACATACTCTACATCCTACGTTCCTCGCGTCCACCGTGCAATAATCAATTGTTTGGGGCCCAGATTGGCGAACATCCCGCAAACAGTTTGTGCACATAGCGGTTCGCCCCTGCGTTGCGTATCTAATTGGACAGGTCAGCCGGGGATGTTCCACGTTCGTTGGCGCCCCGTGCCGTGGGTGGGTCGGCCGAGGTTGCGCCAAGTTGCCGCCCGCGCCGCCTCATGGGCGCTTGTGGGCGCCTGTTGCGCTGCGTTGCTGCCCGTGCCGCCTCGCGGATTTTCGCGGGCGCCCCGTGCGCTGCGCGGGCAAGCCCAGGTTGCGCCACGTTTCTGCCCGTCCCGCCTCGCAAGCGCTCGTGGGCGCCTCGTGCATTGGGTGGACCGGTGCGAGGCATCCTCGCACCCTGCTACTAGACCAGGCGAGACTGGGCAGCGAACAAGGCACACCGCTTGAACCATCCCCACAATGTGGGCGCGAACGGGCCCGTACAAACACCCTGGCGGCTCCCCCTCGGGAGTGTCGAAAAAATCGCCTCGCCTGAGACATCTTGACACCTCGAGCCTGAGTGTGACATATTCTGAACATGTGCGGTGATGAGTTTAAATGTGAGTGAATGTGAGTACGGCTGGTTGAGTCTCACTGAGAGTGAGCCTGAGTGTGTGTAAGCGTCTGAGCGCGAGTAAGTCAGAGCGCGAAAGAGTCTGAGTAGGAATGAGTGTGAGTATGAGTGAGTCTAAGTGTGAGTTGGTCTGAGTACGAGTGAGTCTGAGTGCGAATTACTACGTGTGATTCTGAGTCTGAGTGCGAGCGAATGTGAGCATGAGCTTCAAGAGGGGTTGGGGGAGGAAGAGGACGAAGAGGAGGAGGAGGAGGAGGGAAAGGAGAGTGTGTGTGTGTGTGAGATGGGGCCGGCTGCGTCTAAGTAAGAACAGGAGATCAGCTCGGGACTTTGGGAACACGCGCAAAGTCCACAATCTCGCACATGACGGAAGCAGGCCAAACACATTAGTTATGAAGGCAGTTCAACATAGAACAATCAAGCACCCTCCGGTTCCCCGTTGCAAAGATTGCAGAGCTTTTGCCAGCGCGCATTTGCTGAATTTTCTTAGGAGACCATGTGCGTTAAGCCATCTCGTCCAGAACCCTCGTTATCATCTCGCCACGCGGCGCATCCTCCTAGATTCAGCATGCGCCAAACGCGCGAATCCGTATCAAATGCTACCAAGCGGGGCACACGCACGCGCCGCCACGCGATCGTTTGGAAAGCCTTCCAAACACCATTGGTATTCGTCGCGTTTCAAGATATAGCTTGTCAACAACACATGGAACAACAGAATTCAAAACAGAACACTAAAAAGTGGTTTTCATCGTGACGTCGACCAGGTGTCTTGAATTCCCCCGCGCGCGCACACTTACTCGCCATGGCCATCATCAGCGCCACCGCGCCACCACCAGAATCGCCATCGCCAGTCGCCGCCATTGCCGCCATCACCAGTCAGTCACCTGCATCACCGACACATGGACATATGCATCACCGTCATCGTCGTCACTAGCACCGGCCTCCGCCATTGGTGTTGCCGTCGTTATCGTCATCGTCGCCACCACCATCGTTATTACCATCATCGTTGCCGCCGATGTCGGCGTTATCATAATGCCGCGCCCGCCCGAATCACCGACTCGCGCTGAAGTACCTGCGCGCCACCACGGCCGTTGAAATGCGTTTGGAAGTTCCCATTAGTGAGCGCCATCGCTGCCGCATTGGTTGTGCCAACCCAGCTGGTCGCTCTGCGCGCGAGCTTGCTCGCTGTAGCGCGGTAACAAAGATGCGCCAGTTAGGACCAAGTAGTCACCACAATCGCGGCCACAGTGGTTGTGCAAAACAGGTTGTTGTTGGGAAAGTGGGGTGATTGCGCGAGCACTGGACTTGGCAACTCACGAGCTGGCTAAACTTAAATACGCTACGTAGTTCCCAACTCAACAGCAAACAAACCATGTGTTTGGGTTTCACGATGGCTAACTTGTGAGAACATACGTTCGAGTAGGAACCGCGAGGGCGTAATGCATCATAAGTAGATAAGTGTTTACCACAGCATGGCCGCCGCATATGCGTTGAAACAAGAGTTGTGCCTTTTTGTTGCAAACTGTTTGGTGGCAGGGCCCAAGCACTGTATCTAGTACGTGCGAAGCTTGGCCCCGCGGCATGATCTTCAGCATACCCTCAGGGCTCCAATTGCACATTCTGTCACCCCCTCACCCCACTCCCCACCCCCCAGCTTCTCCAAGATCATCCGGGAAGTCCACATCGCCCCAAGAGGGCGCAGGAGGTATCCGAGGTTGAGTCACCAGTCAGCCGCAGTGTTTCCCAAAACCGTTTTTGGAGTGTAAGGCAGCCCCACGGCGCCCCCCATCTCACAAGGTCGTCCCAGAGGGCCCCTACGAACGTCTCAGGAGGGCTTCAAACGAGTCTTCGAGCAGAGGGGGACCTCAGACGGAGGACGCCGAGTGCTCCTCACGCTGAGGCTTGGCTGAGCCGTCACGGCATCGCGGGCCCCCGACAAGGCTCAATGAGACCCCCAGGGGCTCCCAGAGCGGCCTCTGAGACATTACAGGAAAGCTCCCAGAAGGTGCAGCGTTGTCCCAGGAGACGTTAGGAGTTCACCAGAGGGACGAAAATGGCTCCACGACAAACCAAAATCTGCCGAAGGCGGCCTCAAGAGTGCCCGATGTGGCCCCACGAAATCCATTGGCCAGCCCAGGATGCTCCAAAAAGGGCGGGCTCGGTCCGCGCAGCCTGGTTGGCCCCCGCCAGGGGGGGCCAGCGGAGAAAACACTCCCAGCGCCCAGTGCGAGCATGATGCAGGTCGCGGCCACGACCACCAGCCAACGCGCGCGCGCCGCGGCCTTGGTCCAGCATGCGCTGGTGAAGAGCGAGGCGGACCACGCCCGCCTCGGCTTCCTGGTGCTGGCGCTCCGGGGCAAGAAGGTCGGGTTCGAGACTGTGATCAAAATGATCGACGACATGGTCGTACTGCTGAAGAGAGAGCAGGCCGATGACGCGGAGAAGAAAGAGTACTGTGGCTCGCAGTTTGATTCCACAGACGACAAGAAGAAGTCGCTGACCCGCCAGGTGTCGAACCTCGCGACCACCATCGCGAGCACGGAGGAGAGCATCAGCAGCGCTGCGGAGGACATCTCAGCGCTAGAGGCCGGCATCGCGGCCCTCGACAAGAGCGTCGCGGAGGCGACGGCGCTGCGCAAGGGCGAGCATGAGGAATACAAGGCGTTGATGGCTGCAGACGGTGCCGCGAAGGAACTGCTCCTGTTCGCCAAGAACAGACTCAACCAGTTTTACAATCCCCGCGCGCTGCCGCGCCTGCATCCGCCACCGCGCCGAGGGGAGGGGGGGCGGGCTCCGGGGGAAGGGGGGGGAGGATCCGCGGAGCTCCCGGACAGGCGCTGTTGCTTCTCGGGGCTCAAGAGACGGGAGTCAATGCAAACGGGGGCCAATGCAAACGGGGGTCAGGCAGAGGGCTGGACCTTGCAGGACCCTGCAGAGCCACGGATCCATTGACCCGGGATCCTGCAGAGCCAGGAGTGCAATGACCCGGGCTTGGGTGCAGGATCCTGTGGGATCTTGCAGGATCTTGCAAAGCCTCACTGACCCGGGTTTGGATTGACCTGGGTCAGTAGATCCCCGAGCTTCTGGGCCAGTGTTCCGCGACGAAGGCGACAATTGGCGGCGGATCCTAAGCTGTACAACCCGCCGGCCAAGGTCGAGCTCTCCGCCCAGGGCGCCATTGAGCGCGACATGGGCAGCGCGGCGGCGCTGTTGCAGGTCTCCGAGCGCGCGGGGCGCACGAGCGCTGCCGCGCCGCCGCCGGAGACCTGGAGCGCGTACGCAAAAAAGTCCGAGGAGAGCGCCGGAGTCATTGCTATGATGGACCTGCTGATCAGCGATCTCGACAAGGATCGGCGGCGAGCGAGGGGGGAAAATGAGAAGGAGATGGCCTTTTCAGAAGGCGGCGGGGCTTCTCTGAAGCCCTCGTGCCGTCTGAGTGGCTTCCGACGTCTTCGAGGAAGGCCCAGAGAACTTCTCAGAAGGCCGGGGGACCTCTGTGCCCTCCGAGGAGGCCTTCTCTTTCTCGCTTCCCCTCTGGGCTCGCCGCCTGAAGGAGATGACCGAGGCCGAGACGGAGGAGAAGGACTCGCAGGCGGACTATGACAAGACGATCGCGGGCGCGAAGGACAAGCGGATGACCGACTCCAAGGCGCTAACGTCCAAGGCCGCCGAGAAGGCAGATTTGGAGAGCGACCTGCAGGCGGCCAAGGGCGACAGCGCCAGCACGGCCAAGGCGCTCATGGCAACGGACAAGTACCTCTCCCAACTCCATGCCGAATGTGATTGGCTCATCCAGTAGCGAAGACGCCTAGGGCAAATCACCGCCGCCACCTGCCCGTTGGAAGCGCCTATGTGACCGAACGCTGCGGTCAGAGCTCGGCCAGGCTATCGGACTACGTGTTCTCCCAGCCATTGTGGAAATCCTTCGGGGACCGTGTGGGGGATAAAGCAGAAGAGGAGGAGAGGGAGGAAAAAGGAGGAGGCCTCTTGGGGGGGGCACTCTTGGGGCCTGGGAGTTTCCTGGAGGGTTCTTGGAGGCCTCTTGGGGGTTGGGCCTCTTGGGGCCTTCTTTGGAGGCTTCTCGGTAGGCTCTTTGTCCGTCCGAGGTTCCTGGCCCGTCGGAAGCCCGCTTGGGGGCCTCACTGAGCCGACTTGGGGCTCTCGTGGGGCCCTAAGGGCCGCCTTGGAACCCATATTGGGCATCCTGGAGGTATCCTGGAACGTCTTGCGGCCCTCTTGGGGCCGTCCTGGGGGCCTCTTGGGCCGTTAGGGGGACTTTTCGGAGGCCTCTTGGCCTCCGGTGCCCTCTTGGGCCGCCGGGAAGCCGAAAATGAGCAAACGCCAGAATCCTTATCAAACCGAAGAATAATCGATTAGATTGGCCTTTGGATCCGTGCTGGAGATCCCTTCGGAGGCTTCTTGGAACGGACCGTTTTGGGGGCCTCTCGGGCCGTCTGGGGCGATCTCGATGTTGGGCCGCCTTGGGGGCATTTGGGGTCTTGGGCCCACCTTGGGCACTCTTGGGGCCATCCCAGCAGTCTTGGAGGTCATCTTGGCCGTCCTGGAGGCCGTCTTGGGGGCGTCTAGCACGGGAAGGCAGGCGACCTGGGAGTTTGATGGGACCTCATCGGGCGGAGAGCCGAGGAGCAACATTTTGTCCGCCGCGCCGGTGCGATCGGCCGAGACTTTATTGGGATCATTGTTCAATCTGACACGCGGTGCACCTCTCTGGCAAGCCAACAGGGGGCGGCGGATCGAAGACGCCTACAGAGAATCACTGCCGCCCCCTGCCTTTTTGGGAGCGCCTATGTGGCCGAACGTTGAGGCCAGACCTGCCAAACTATCGGACCATGTGTTCCCCAAATCAGTTTGGAAAGCTTTCGGGGAACACGTTGGCATCTTGAAGGTCATCTTGGCCGCCAGGAGGCAATTTTGACCCTTTCGGGCCTTCTTGGAGGACGTCTTGGAGGGCTCTTGGGCCGTCTTGGAGGCCATCTTGAGCGTTTTGGAGGCCTCTTGGACCGTCTTGGGGGCCTCTTGGGACCGTCTTGGACCTCTTGGGCGATCTTTGGGGGCACTTGGGCCGTCTCGGGCCATCGGAAGGCCGACAAAAAGCAAATGCCACAATCCGTCAAAAACTCATGGGCAATCATTGCTTTTGGCCTTTTCGGGCCTTCCTGGAGGCCCTCTTGGAGGGGTCTTGGGCCGTCTTGGGCCATCTTCGTGCCATCTTCGGCCGTTTTGGTGGGCCCCTGGCCCGTCCAACGCCGTCGGAAGCCGTTTGGGGGGCCTCTCTGAGCCGACTTGGGGCCCTCTTGGAATGCTCAAAGGCCGTCTTGAAGGCCATCTTGGGCGTCTTAAAAGCCTCCTGGGCCGTCTTGGGGGCCTCTTGGGGGCCTCTTGGGGCCGTCTTTGGGGCCTCTTGGGCCTTTCTGGGGCCATCTTTGAGGCCTCTTGGGCGATCTTTGGGCGATCGGTGGAGGCTCTTGGGCCGTATCGAGCCGTCGGAAGGCCGAAACGAAGCAAATGTCAAAATCTGTCAAAAATCGTAGGAAAATCATTGTTTTTGGAATTTCTGGCCTTCTGGAGGCCCTCTTGGAGGCCTCTTGGGCGTTCTTGGGTCAGCTTCGAGCCAAGTTGAGGGCCGTCTTAGAGGCCATCTTAGCCGTCTTGGAAGCCATCTTGGGGCCGTCTGGGGCATGATAACGGTTGGCAACCGCCTCCTTCCGGGACCCCGGCGGGAACGAGTTGGAGCCCCAGGGGTAGTTCTTATGGAAAAGAACCAAAACCAAAACCGAAATCGTCTAGCACGCCAGGCACCCCTGCGATGAATTGACAGGGGGCGGCGGATCGAGTGGCCTTCGGCCCATCCCGCCACTGCGCCTGGAGCGTCTGCCAGACGTCGCCTGGATGCATGCGGAGCCCTGTTCGGAGGCATATCGGACAGCAGTTTAGGGGTGTCTTGGTGCCTCGTGGGGCCTGTTGGTGCCTCTTTTGGCGCTCCTGGGGGCCTCCTTGAACTTCTTCGGGGCATCTCAGGGGCGAAGGACTTGAAATGTCAGTTCGAGTTCTCCCTCCTGGGGCCCTCTTGGCCGTCTTGGTGGCCTCCTGGGTCGTCTTGAGGCCTTATTGAGCCGTCTTCAGGGCTTCTGGGGACATCCTGGGTCGTCTTGGAGCGATCTTGGGAGCATCGTGGGCCGTCCTGGAGCGTTGGACGCTCGACATGGCGAGAAAGCTAACATCTGGCAGAACCTGTGGAACATCTGTAGTGTTGCCTCTTGAGGCCCTCTTGGGGGGCCCCCTGGAGCCCTCTTGGGGCTTCTTACGCGCCTCCAGGAGCGTCTTGAGGCCGTCTTGAGCCTGGAGCGTCAGGAATAGTTTTGCGACAAGCCTCACAGGGTCTGCGGGGAAGCCCCGGTGGCGGCCAGGAGCAACCAGAACTCGGGGTTCATGGCCCTTTTTATAGAGAGCACTGCAAGACCAAGCGTAGAGGACTCGAAGGGACCTGAGGACATTACACTTCGTGCCTCGGGGCACGGCGGCGGATTTCGATGCAAGGGAGGAGGCGCGCAGTGGGGAGATCGACGCGCTCGGACAGGCCAAGGCTGTGCTGAGCGGCGCCGACTACTCGTTGCTGTAGGTAGGCCGCCATTTCGACAGAGCAGAAGTCTAGTAGTGGATGCAAGACCGCGGAGGATGGTGATCTGGAAGGATTAGAAGGGAGGAGGGGAGGAGGAAGGTAAAGCTCGGCGATGGAGTATGCGCATGCCGTCCTTCGAAAAACAGAGTTGTACCTACTTGTAGTAGGGCGCCTGGGCAGGTGAATGTACTGACCTAGGCTGACCTGCTTGGAAACGGCATCGGAATGTTGAAGGGTCACAGCTCAGTCCACGCGCCCCTTGCGAGACTTTGGACGATCGCCAGGGTGCCAGTCCAGCTGGTTTTCCCTGTCCGCTCATGCAAACGCACAACCGCAAGACGGCACCTAAAGTAGGCCCAGCTGCCTCGTCTACAAGCGCACGTGGATCTGGGCGGGCACGACATTCGCTTCCACGTTCCCCCATCCGCAGCAATCGAACTCAGGCTATTACCCCATGCGATCAGCCACTCGTAGTTGTGAAAGTTGTATACCATGAGCGATGCAGGCACAAGCGGTAGCGCTCATCGAAGACTCCGCCGGCGACCCGCTTATTGGATGTGCGTTGGCGTCTCGTGAGAGGCCTCCGGGGCCTCTTGGAAGCAGTTTGGACGCCTCCTTGGGGCAGTTTGGGGGCCTCCTGGAGACTCCTTTGGGCCTCTTGGGGCCTCTTGTGGGCCTTCTGGGAGCCTCTTGGGGCCTCCTGGGCGCCTCTTGGGTGGGGCCTCCTGGGGGGATCTTCGGTTCGTGTTCCCTCTCTCTTGGAGGCCTCTTGGGCCGTTTTTGGGTGGTCTTGGGGCCCTCATTGGGCCGTTTTGAAGCGTGAAAGCCTCAGGGAAATCGATGATGTTTGCCTCTTGGGGCCCTCTCTCGGAGGCCTCCTGGGGCGTCTTGGAGCCCTCTTGTGCCGTCTGGGGGCAATCATGGGCGTCTTAGGCCGATCTTCCGGCGACTCGGAGCCTTCGTGGGCCGCCTTCGGGGCCTCTTGTGATCCTCTTGGCCCCTTAGAATGTGGGGAATGAGAGCGGTCGGGTCTGATGATGATGAGTGTGATAACGATTGTGATGGTGATGGTGGTGAGGTGAAAGAGAGGGGGCTAGGAGGAGATCCTGCGCGGAAATGTGCAAAGAAAACGAGAACCCCATTCAGGATTTGGGGACAAACAGGTGTCCTCTTCTCCGTGTGCAGCTTGAAGATTGAAGAATGCAGGACACCTTTGTTCCAATTCTTCAAACTGGCGTGGCATTGCCTGTTTGCAGATTGATGGTTGAAGAATTCAACGGGCTCATATCCACGGTTCTTCAAAACAGCGGTTGGCAGTTTGCTTGAAGAACCAGCCGCCGTTGAGAAGTCGGAGGTTGAAGATCTCTGCGGATGCAAACTCGATATATTTCATGCGTGTTGATAGCAGGGGAAAGGTGTCGTCAAGCAAGCAGTGCCACGCCCGTTTGAAAATTTGCGGACATAAGTGTCCTGCATGTTTCATTCTTCAATATTCAAGCGGAGAGGATAATATTTGTGAGCGAAACGTTTTATCATTGCCTCTTCTGGGGGATCCCGAGGGGGGTGGAGCCTAACACTACTACAACTACAACTATTACGATTACTACAGCTACTACTACCACTACTATTATCATCACTACTACCACTACTACTACTACTACTACTACTACTACTACTACTACTACTACAAATGCTACTACTACTACTACTACTACTACTACGAGTACGACCACTACGACTACTCCTACTACTACTACCACCACCACTCCTAGTACTAGTACTAGTACTAGTACTAGTACTAGTACTAGTACTCGTACTCGTACTCGTACTACTACTACTACTATTACTACTACTCCTACTACTACTACTAATAATACGAATACGAATGCGAACACTAATACTACGACCACTACTACTAAGACTACTACGACTACTTCTGCTACTACTACCACTACTACGGTCAAGCGTATTACCACGACTACTACGACTACTACGAGTACGACTACTACTACTATTATCACTACTACTACTACTACTACTACTACTACAACTACTACCACTAATACTACTACTACTACTACTACTACTACTACTACTACTACTACTACTACTATTACGATTACTACTACAGCTACAACTACTACTGCCACCACCGTTAT